ATTGGTAAAGGGACATACAGCATTCTTTCATTTTGCCTCTTCTGTGACGGTATCCAGGACAAACAGACTATTGTGCAAAATTCCTTCTTTCCAATGCCACTTCTGTCATGACCAATCCTGCAGCAAGGTTCTATATTGATCTGTTTAAAGCACACTGTCAAATAAAATGTTTTGATCCGATTTTTATCTGGATCATTTGTTGTAAGAAAGGAAGATGACAGGCCTTTCCCATCCATAGCCCCCCGACCCCTGGAATTGAAATACCAGGATCTTTTGCGTGGATAATAATGACACTTTTCTCTTGCTCATAGATACCACAACATTGGGATTCTCGTGCTCTTCCTTCACGACATTAGCGACATCCAGCTGGAGTTTACCAAACTCAATGTTTACTTCAAGTACCGGGGTGGCATTTACCACCGTTTGAACGATACCATGTCTAATGCTGGCTGCGTCTCCTTCAGCATTAGTTGGTGAGTCTCTGGTACCACTTCTCAAATGAGGTCTGGTCCTTAGATCTTACAGGGACCAGCTTGGAAAAGGAACTGGAGAGGAATATTGCAAATTTTTGCTTGGCTGTGGCTCCACATGAAATCCGTGCTGAATCATTGTGGCTCTGCCTCCTGCCTCTGATAGACCGCTCTCAAGGAAAAAAGCTTTCTGGCAGCTTAACAGTCACCAGTCTCAGTTTCCTCGAAGCCCAGTGGGTTTGTGAATGTTTTAGGAGGGGGATATAGTAGAGAACCACGGAAGCGACCCTGGAGAAATGATGCGGAGACGGTTACTGAAATAAAAACATGCATTAAGCCCGGCAAACAGAGAAAGGGTGAGAAAGAAGTTGAGAATGGATCTGCCCTAATTTACTGGGGTGTAAGAAGGAGAGAAAGGAAAACAGGCTTTTATGATTGATGTCAGCCCTTCGAGGTAGGCCAGGTCAGGAAATAGACTCCACCAGTTAGAGTGGAATTCTACTGTATTGACATGGGTTATAGCAACAGGATCTTGAAAGCCTGGCTGCGTTCTCCCTTTCCTCCCTCCCCAGTGAATTGGGGTGGATCCAGTCTGAGCCTTTTTCTCACACTTTCTGTTTTAAGATGGAAAGCATGCTTTTCTTCTGTAACCGTTTCGGCATCGTTTCTCCAAGGGCAGATACTCAACTTGCTGACTCCACACGCCTTGGAGGCAGGTCCCAGTTCCTCCTGAACTGTGATTTTGCATGTGACGAAAAGAGAAGTGGCGAAATTCATGGGGAATAATCATACTTACTATATTTAGTTAAGTAAACGTAAAATCTCCCTCCAGTTGACTCCTGTTGACCATATGGCTATCCCCATGTCATTTTCATGGCAATGGTATGAAAGTAATTTGCAGCTATGTCCTTCCAAGATGCTTCCCCCCCCACAACTTCGAAGCTTTGGTGATTTTGCATCCGAGTACTAACCAGGTCCAGTCTCACTTAGTTGTTCAACATCATCTAAGATCGGCAAGGTGCTGTGAGTAGCTACAGATACCAACTTTAATTAGATTTAAATCAGAGCAGAATTTTGTTCTGGCTTCACCCCACTTGGTTATTCTGGCTTCACTGTTTTGCAGAGCATGGTCTCCAAGCACCACTCAGAAATCAAGTGCAGTCAAAAAAGTTGGTGCAATCATAGTTTAGCCCTTGCCATTGGCTCCTCCACCCTAACTAAAATTATTTGACTACGGTCTCCTGGCATAACATCCCCTCTTCCCCCCCCAACCCCAGTTTTGAGATCTTTGTGCGCATTTGTGTGTAGAATCTGATAGCATGGCCTTCCTGTTATAGGTTGTTTAATACAAGAGTTAGCAACTTTTTCAGGCCAAAGGGGCCATTGCCTGAAATTGCCTAATGACCAGAGCCAGATGTACACACCAGACGTTACCTCTGATCTCACAAAATCACTAACCTCATAAGATTTAAGATTTCAGCAATCTTAGCTCGGAGGTTATGCAGAAGTGCAAAACCGACGAGCACATTATTGGCATCCTTGCATGGAATCTCATGAGGTTTGACCAGATTGGGCAATCTTATGAAGTGTCAATCGTTTTGTACGTGTTTGTGTGTGCGCGTGTAAAAATATAAAAAAGGCCAGGTGTCTTTTTTATCAAATGAAATATGTGGCACCTGCAACTAAGTTCTTGCTGTGCCTTTTTTCTTTTACTTATTTCAGTCACAGTTCACGACACAGAACCAAAGTAAAAAGAAAGAACCATAAGCATAAAAACATACATACGTGTGTGTGTATGTATAAATAAATAAAACAAAATGGTATTATCACAAGCTTGCCATAGCTTGTTGGCTGATTGGAGCAACCTATAAGCCCTCTAGACAAGTAGCAACACGAGAAAAACCTGTAACCTGTTCCCAAATTAAAATGTCCACAGTTTAAATCTTTGCCTGAATGTTACAGCTTTTGTCTTAAATTTTGCAAACAGCCATACAGAACAGTGTTTCTCAACCTTGGCCACTTCCAGATGGGTGGACTTCAACTCCCAGAATTCCCCAGCCAGCCATGCTGGCTGGGGAATTCTGGGAGTTGAAGTCCACCCATCTGGAAGTGACCAAGGTTGAGAAACACTGATACAGAATAGGTTTTGTCTGCCTCTTGCTTTTTAATTGTATTAAACTGGGACTCTCATCACCTCTGCTGGCTTTACCTGCAAGTTTGCTTACTTTAAATAGCAACTGCCCATCCAAGGCAGGTCTACAGAGAAGGCTTGTTGAGAGTCGCTAGTCCTCATGAGGGGACTCGCGGTTAAGCAGGTCCTGCAGCATTCCCCCCACCCACCCCAGGAAACCCTGGTTTAAGTTGCTTCTTCGTCTTCCTTTTTTTCAGTTTTCTTTTGTTTTTCTCAGGTTCTGGTTCCGTTTATACTGGTTCCCCCTGAAGGTGCTTTATGCCACGTGCCACACCAGCCTGCAGTCTGTCCCTAACATCCCTTTTTACTTCTTCTTCAACACGCTGCTCTTCATCCTCACGCTAATGAACATCTATTGGTTCCTGGTGAGTAAAGGGCTGTTGTCAGAGGCCAGACCAGCTTTCCCAGCTCCGCACCATCCAGTGTGAGGTAACGGTGAAGGTGCCGGATTAGGAATGGGGAACCCCAGGATCAAGCCCCCCGCCCAGCCAGGAAGCTCTGGGGGAGAATTTATTTATTTATTAAATTTATATGCCACCTGTCTCCCCCAGAGGGTGACTCTGGGCGGCTGACAATTGAAATCAAACATCAAAAACAGTAAAAAATAAATAAATATCCACATTCAATTAGCTAAACAAAAATCCTACTATCTAAAAAGACTATATCTATCAAAAGAGTACTGTAAAGTTCACCCGTTGGGGGAGATGCGCGGCGTACAAATGTAATAAATAAATCAGTAAATAAAAATTCAAGATGCCGGGAGGCCGAATCAATTATCACACGAGCCAATTCCAATGATGAGAATTGGGGCCCGTCCCCTCTTCTCAGCCCAGCCCTATTTTGCAAGGATTGTGGTAGGAAAAAATAGGAGGGAGTGCTATATATACTACTTTGGTCCCCCAAATGAAGGACGGGATGTGCATTTCTTTATATATATATGTGTGTGTGTGTA